CCCCCCCACCCCCGTCACTAAGAATGACGTCAGCTACACGTTCCTTACAGGAAGCACGGTTGAATGCGTCGGGGTGTGTTACCAAGGGAGAATGCAGAAATAATGGGAGAGAAAGAGGATCTCAGTTATTGCCAGAAAAGCAGAACTTGCTGCATACAGTCTGTAGATTCCTTTGGGTAACCCCTTCAGAGCTGAGGGGCAAAATATAAAGAATGTAAGTGTGTGAGAATCTGAAATTAATAATAATTTCTTTAAAAGAGGTGAAGAAAGATGGAGAGTGAAAATGTGATGTTTGTCTTTTAGGAAGTTTTTATATATATAAAAAAGTTCTAAGATACAGAACTTTCTTATATGTGTCTAAGTTCACTTTAATTGAACAAATTATATACATATATAATTTAGCATTTGTACTTTTGGAGCATGGGGGAGAAAGTGAGAAGCATCACATGAAGACTCTGTAATAGGGTCCTCTTCATAAAAATAATGTAATACAATAGGTCTCACTGGGGGGGTCTGGAAACCCCCCTTCTGGCCAGCGATTGGAAATGGGCTGATTTTTAACATGGAGGGGTGGGATAGACCCCAGGCCACTGTGGCTTCTTGCAGAAAGAATCTCTAATCCTTTTGGTTTAACCATTAGGCAAATTTAGCTTCCTGGTTTCAGAAAGAGAAAACACACCCACAAAAAGAAAAACCCGGCCAGGCCCGTGGGAACAAGAAACTTCCTCCTCCTGGGGCTTCTCAAAAACCTAATCTCCCTCCCAGGAGGCCAAGTCCCTTTCCTAGTCAGCGGGAGGCTGGCGAGGGAGGCAGGGCACTGGGGACTGGCCTGGGGACTGAACACAGGCTGGCCGGGGCGTCAGTCTCGGGGACTGGCTCCTCAGGCAAAGAAACTGCACAGAGGCAACTTTGTGATTAATTCTGCGTCCACCTGGGGAAGTAAGCAGCCTGAGTGGCTTTGTCTTGTGTCTCCACTCTTGGCATCTGTGCCTCTTCTTCAGCTCAACATGCCTTGAGGCTGAAAAGTAGGAGCCGTCATTTTCTACTCACTTGGTGACAAAAATCTCAGAAAAAAGGTCACTGCTAATTGAAGAGAAATACCTCTCAGGACAACGTATCCATCCTGCCGTGTACGTGAGTGCGGGTTGTCACTACAGGTAAATGATTTAGCAGATTAACTGAGGGGAGGCCAGTGTGGGCTGGAGAAAGGTCTGAAATTTGGAGCACTTGAATTTCGGTAAAGTAGAAGGAGGGCAAGGAGCTGGGGCGCTATGAAAACGACTGAGCAGGATCCACACTCCTGAAGGATCCACACTCACAGCAATTCTTGTTTAACAATTTTGTTAGTGCAGAAGGTCACGGGAGCCTTTCTTCGTGGAAGTGTGATAATGCCACTATCATCTGGCTTTCCTTGTTTTGAAGGACAGGGAAGGGAAATGGGAAGGAGCACATTGTTCACTTGCTGCGGGAGAAGCTTTTAACACGTGCTAGTTCACTTAATCCTCACAAAACGGGGAAGGAGGAGTATTATCTACATTTAACAGAAGAGGAAAGTGAAGTTTAATTAAGTAAATTGCTGATCTTTATGTGGCTGTTGATAAGTGGATGACCCAGGCTGGACCCGTTTCCCCATTCTGAGGCCCTTTACTGCTTTACTTCAGGAAAATTATTTTCTTACAGTAAGAGATTTTCAGTTCAACCTCTTTGACTGATCCTAGATTTTCAGTTAATGGGGTCATTTTGCTTGTTTTTATGGTCTATAGATCTGAAACTAAAACAATTTTGGGAACTCACATTTATTAATCACCTATTGTAAACCAAATAGATTGTGGCTAAGAAAAAGATAGTTGTTACTCACAGAATGGCTGTTGATCACAAAATACAGTCCCTAGGATTTTTAAGTTCACTTTAATTGAACAAACAGTGATTTGTTGCTGAGTTGGTAACTGGGTGGCCACCGTGGTGGTAGCGGTGGGTGGTCTAGAGAGGGGAAGGAGAGACAGTACCTGCCCTTGAAGAGTCCGCAAGCTCTTAAACCTTACAGGTGATAGATCATGCAGGAGTGATAGAACAGACTAAGGACTGTCTTCTAAGACATGCCCCTGGGCTTGTGACTAAGTTCCATATCGACTGTACAGAGAAAAAATCAGAAAGAGAGAATGACGTGGTCTGCTGTAGATCAGGCAAGATGGGTTTTGAGTTAGGTTTGGAGCACAGGTGGCACTTGTATAAATAGCCCAGAACACATGAGATGATGCCACCATGTGACTTACAGAAGTGCCTGTCAGTGGCAGTCTTATATTTGGAGTAACACAGGTGATGTGAAGTAGGCCGAGGCCACGCTGTGAGAGGCTGCAAGGGCCAGGGTGATTTTTGTCTGTTGGCATTGGTGGCCTCTGCACTAGAGGTGATGGTGTTGGTGAAATAATAATTTCTAACAGGTATTGAGCATTTATACTACACTCTTTATTCAATACATATCATAGACCATTTATAACTGCTTTGTACTGGCAATACAACAGAGTATAAAATGGACAGAAATTCCTACTCTTATGGAGTTTAGATGCCAAAATAGGCAAATTCATCTAGAAAGCTACAGGGAAACGTAGAGAGAAAAGTAGGTGGGGAGTGTGTGGGTAAAGAACATGACGGTTGGCCCGGCGCCTGTGGCTCAAGTGGCTAAGGCGCCAGCCATGTACACCCAAGGTGGTGGGTTCGAATCCAGCCCAGGCCCGCCAAACAACAATAACGGCTGCAACCAAAAAATAGCTGGACGTTGTGGCGGGCGCCTGTGGTCCCAGGAGTTGGAGGTTGCTATGAGCTGTGATGCCATGGCACTCTACCCAGGGGGACAACTTGAGACTCTGTCCCAAAAAAAAAAAAAAAAAAGAACATCATGGTTTTAAAGCCTGGCTTTGCGTGTAGGTGTGTTAACTCATGGAATCAGGTAAATTGTAGAAGGTAGTCTTTAAAGAGTTTTGAATATAAAGTAACATGATGAAAATACAAAGTGTAAAGATGAGTGTAGCAAAGTCAGGGAAACGCTGACACCATGGGGACCTGCAAGAAAACCAGGTTCAACCTACAAGAGATCTCTTAGCAATTGGTATCATGGAAGGCAATGTTTTTCAACCTTTTTTTTTTTTAATCTCATGGCACACTTGAACATATAGTTAAATTTCCATCCATGGCACACTTAAATTATGTTCATCAAAAAAAGAGTAAAAACAAGAATATACTTACTGGACTTTGAATTTCTTTTGAAAATCACTGATGTAAGTAAGGTTTAGTAGAGAAGGAAGACAGTGTGGGGAAACACAGAAATTCACTATGTGCCTCTCTGGTCCCTGCCTTTTCCTCAGGCTAGAAATGCAATTATATTGCAGAAATGCCAAGGCTAATTAGTAACCTGATACAAAAGTGGGAACGGTGACTAAGGTTTTACTCCTTCATTGACTAAAATGCTAAGAAAAATGAAAAATTTTCAGTGAGAAAGATAGAAATACAACACAATTGTCTGTCATGCTGTTTAAGTAATTTTGAAATTTCTGGAATGAATTGGGAGTGGCCCCAAAGGCATTCATTGTCCCTGAGAGTCAGGAGTCTCCCCTCACAGCAGGGGGGCATTATGACAGGTAAAGGGGGGTTCCCAGTGCCAGGAGACCTGCCTCTCCTTCCCTGGTGCTTCCCCGGCGTCTCCCCACCGTCCCGCTGCACTGCCCGCCACTCCGTCCCAGCCTGCTGCCTGCTGCTTCGCACATTTATAAAAACGACTTACTCACAGGTTCCCAGGCATTCTTGGTGTACAGCTCTCTGAGTGTCTGTGACTTTTTAAGATGAGCCAACAGCAGAAGAAATATGTAAAAATCCAATGAGTGAGTAGTGAGGTCAAACAACTTAATAAATTGTTTTTGTTAAAATGACTTAGTACCATTGAAAAAATAATGTGCATAAAAATAAAATATAATATTTTAATGTAATTCTTAAATGACCACAGCTGCTCACTACTGATTTCACACAGACCTTGGAATCGTGCTGGACACCACCATCCTCACTGTCTGTTCCATGTCGATTTTCTTTTTTTTTTTTTTTTGAGACAGAGCCTCAAGCTGTCCCCCTGGGTAGAGTGCCGTGGCATTACAGCTCACAGCAACCTCCAACTCCTGGGCTCAAGCGAGTCTCCTGCCTCCGCCTCCCAAGTAGCTGAGACCACAGGCCCCCGCCACAACTCCCGGCTATTTTTTGGTTGCAGCCGTCATTGTTGTTTGGCGGGTCCGGGCTGGGGATTTGAACCCGCCACCTTAGGTGTACGTGGCTGGCGCCTTAGCCAGTTGAGCTATAGGCGCCGAGCCATCCATGTCGATTTTCAAGCGATGATTGCATATTTTTTATCACAACAACCAATAGAAATCCTGGTTTCACAAAGATGTGGTGCTATTGAAAGGAATACAGCATGATCTAGTGTTGAAACAAGCACCAGGAGCTGGGAGCTTTCATGGTGTCTGACACATGTCATTACATTTTTCTTTTTCTTTTTTGAGACAAGAGTCTCACTTGTCACCCTTAGTCAAGTCCCATGGCATCACAGTTCACAGCAACCTCAAACTCTTGGGCTTAAGCGATTCTCTTGCCTCATCCTCCCGAGGAACTGGGAATACAGGCGCCCACCACAATGCCTGGCTGTTTTTAGAGACGGGGTCTCGCTCTTGCTCAGGCTGATCTGGAACCTGTGAGCTCCGGCAATCCACCCGTCTCAGCCTCTCAGAGTGCTAGGATTTACAGGCCTGAGCCACTGCGCCGTCCTCATTACGTTTTTCTTGAAAATTTGAAATACCCTGTGGCATCCCTGTGACTTCGGGCCCTGCCATGCCTCAGCACACAGTTGGAGAACCATCCCCTTCTCTTCTCCTCAAACTTATGGCACATCTTGGCCATCTTCATTTTTAAGAAAGTAATTTGAGTTCAGTCATGACCTGTGGGGTTTTCTTTTCACTTTTACACTCCTAGAATGAGTTTAAAAGGACTTTCTAGTCCACTTCTAGGATCCTGCCACTGTACAGATGTGTCACTTGGTGAGTCACTGCTGCTTTGGCTTCAAGCTGGGTCCAAAGAATTGTTTCCAGTCCACATTCTGCCTTACTTCTTATGTGTTTAAAACTTTGTCCCAGGTTCAAATCCTTGCCTGGCTTTTAACCATCATACTTTACTCTAAGCCAGTGGTTCTCAACCTTCCTAATGCTGCAACCCTTTAATACAGTTCCTGTGGGTCGCAACCCACTGGTTGAGAACTGCTGCTCTAAGCTCATGAATGTGCTGTACCTGGAGGAAGAAAAATTTTCTGTAAATTTATCTATCTTGGATTTTTTTTTTTTTTTTTGAGATGGGTTCTCACTTTGTTGACCAGGCTGGACTCATACTCTTGGCTCAACTGATGCTCCCGATGGCCTCATGAGTAACTGGAGCTCTGCAGGTGCGTGCGGTCTGCCTGGCTTCCTTGAAGTCCTTTCTACTCTGCCACAGCCCCATGGGGATGCTGCCTGTGACCCCAGTCTATGAGGACACAGGTTGGCGCGAGTGCCAAGGCATTGAAACAACAGAAACACCACCGCTAGGTGTTGCTTGTCTCCCTGTTGTGGGGCAGTCCGAGAGGCTCCCCTGGGTACAAGGGACGGGGAGAAGTAAGTAGTTCATTGCATTTGATTTTAACTTTTCACAACTCTATTTCTCTATTTTTCTTTTCTTTTCTTTTTATTGTATTATTTTTTGTTTTTGAGATAGGGCCTCGCTCTGTCACCCAGGCTGGAGTGCAGTGGTACAGTCATAGCTCATGGCAACCTTGAACTCCTGGGCTCAAGTGATCCTACTGCCTCAGCCCTCTAAGTTTCTGGGATTACAGACCTGTAACCCCGTTCCTAGCTAGTTTTTCTTATTATTTGTAGAGACAGGGTCTTCTTGAATTCTTCAAGTGATCCTCCCACCTTGGCCTTCTAAAGTGCTGGGATTAGAGGTGTGAGCCATCATGCCCAGTCTACAATTATATTTTTATCAAAGTAGCTCATTGTGGACACTTTGGCAATGAGGAAAAAAACATAAAAACTGACCTACTGTAGAAACTTGAAAGTGTTAAAACTGTTAATTCCAACTTAATTTGGTATTA